TCATACATATTTTATGAACGAAATCCCTTATTTTGCCGTTTGGTACATAATTTAGTAATTTCTTGCTTACCTGTCGTCTCACTACGTAAATCCAATTATTCATTGATCCAGTTAGTCACTAATCTAAATAATTTATATGTTACACTTATTATATTTTAAAGTTAGCTAGTGGAAAGTGCAGTATTTATTCCTTTTAATTCTTTGGATCCAATCCATTTGTAATTTGGTTTTCTCATGAAATGCAAATTGCAGCACCAGTGAATAGATTATATTATCTTGCTTTGCCTCCTGAAGTTTTTGAAGATGTCACACTTCAGATAAGTGAGAACTGTGTGGACGACGGGTAAGTTGCTCTGTACTTTTTGATTCGTTCTTCAGAAGCAGGTTCGACCTGATTTTATGGTCGTAGTTTTCCACTTTTATTTTGCCTTGATTGACAATAACGTTGTTTGTTCTTCTTAAGAAATAACTTTTGACTCTTTCTCCTTTCAGAATGGTAGGAGACAGGAATAATATGCAGTTTGTTTCTTAGTTTAATCTAGCAACTTTCTGATTCCAAGTGATACGTAAAACTCAGCTTTCTTTTGGTGGGAAGTTGAATTTTAGTGACGCCTTAGTATCCAAAGCTAAATAGCATACTTTTTCATTTGACATATTCTTTGTATGATTCCCTATTTTAATTCAGAAATTCTTAATGACTTTTTCAGTGGTTCTTGGACACGTATCATTATTGAAAAACCTTTTGGCTTCGATTCAGAATCTTCCGCGAAGTTGTCTTCACATCTCGAGCGATTGTTTCGGGAAGACCAAATCTACCGTATTGATCATTATCTGGGCAAAGAAATGGTTCAAAACCTTATGATTCTTAGGTTAATATTAGGCTTTTCCTATTATTTGCTTTTTTTTTCAACATGACATAACAAGAAGTTTGGGAAGAGAAGCTTCTGTTTGATGTGGAAAACACGTTGTTACCGTGTCTTGAAAAATCAGTAATATCGAACTCGGCCACGTATATTTATTTAAAATCCTATATACCATTTGCATTCGATTTGCTGTGTCACTATTAGCACTACTGAACTTTAGATTTGGGAATAGGATCTTTAATCCTTCATGGAATCGTGACAATATAGCAGCTGTTGTGATCTCATTTAAAGAAAATTTTGGAACACAAGGCCGTGCAGGATATTTTGATACGAGTGGTATCATACGGTAAGTCATCAAATATACGTATCACAACATATATATTCTCTTAGATTTGTTGTCCCTTCAAAAATATGAAGATTTTGAAATTGCTTGCTTGCTATTTCAGTGATGTAATGCAAAATCATCTAATGCAAATCCTGACACTGGTTGCTATGGAGAAACCTGCCAGTCTGGATGCCGAGGATATTCGGGATGAAAAAGTAATGTTTTTGCATACTGTCGTATCACTGTGCTTTGTCTAGAACATTTTAAACAGTTATCTATGATAATGGGAAATTAAATTGGAATTGCTGGTGTAATTCAATTCAATCTTCTAAAAGTAGACTCTGTGAGATACGCCAAATCGGGCAATTACGCTGTTTAGACTTTCATTTTTTTTGTAGACTCCTGAGCAAACGTCGTGTTATCTTCTGTTCGTTAGGCCTTGTGGAGATTTATTCTGAATGACAGTACAGAAACAGTATTACTGAGATCTGATGGATTTCTGTTGTATGTATTGAAAGCGAAGTAATACAACAATCTGTAGCAGAGTTCATTCCGGACTATGTGATATCTTTTGGATGAACTGAACAAAATATGGTTGTAAAAACATCATCCTTCTCTACAAATAATACTGAAGATTTTTTAAAAGTTTTCTGTGTTGTTTTGCAGATTTATTTTTGTGATATTTTTTATTGTTTATCTGGAAATATTGTTTAGTTTCTCAAACTTTGATGTTATTTCAGGTCAAAGTCATGAAGTGTATCAAGGCTGTGAGAATGGAGGATGTGGTTCTTGGACAGTACGTTAGTGACCCAAAAGCAATAAGTAACTACTTCATTTATTTTAAAAGCACCGGTTTCGATGTGAGCATAAAATAAGTATTTTGGGTTTGCAGGTGGGGAAGCATGTTATGGATATCTCGATGATAAAGATGTCCCTCAGGATTCAGTGACACCAACGTATGCATTGGCAGTCTTAAAAGTAAATAATGAACGTTGGGATGGTGTTCCTTTCATTCTGAGGTGTGGAAAAGGTTAAAGTTCTTTTCGGTCATTGATAAGATTTAAGAAAGTGATGAATTTACTGTTTATGATAGCTACGTTCATGTCAGTGTTATCGACTTCTGAATATTAAAGAGTAACTCGGGGTGCTGATTTTCACGTTGTATATCAATTTGCTGTGATATATGTTTCGAAATATTGAAAGTTTCTATGGATAAAGGAACTTAGAAGAAAGAATCGAAATCAAAAAATGGAAAGTTGTGTAATTTGTGGTATTGGATTATATTTCTTTAAGTCTGAATTATTTTTTAGCGCTCAATGAAAGTAAAGCAGAAGTGCGAATACAATTCAAAGAAGTTTCGGGGGATATTTACCCAGAAGGACAACTTAAAAGAACAGAATTAGTTATAAGAGTACAACCAAATGAGGCAGTTTACATCAAATTAATGTCAAAGAAGCCTGGAATGGGCTTCTCAGTGGAGGAAACTGAACTTGATCTTACTTACGGATATAGATATAAAGTAATTACTTTCATTTTTTGATTCGTTTTTTGTCTTATTTTGTTATTTTTGATCTTTGCCCTTATATTAAGAGAAGATGTATTAAAAGGAGGCGAAATGATTTGGATGAACACTTTTGGAATATTGGTTTTCCACTCTTTTTTTTCAGGATGTTCGCCTTCCTGATGCTTATGAACGTCTTTTTTTGGAGGTAATCATGGGTTCTCAAATAGATTTTGTTCGAACTGATGAATTGGAACAGTCGTGGAGAATATTTACGCCGTTGTTAAAGCAGATTGAAAAAGAAAAGTCGAAACCAGCCAAATATGTTTTTGGGAGGTGAATTTTTTCGAATTTGTTATTTTCACATTTGCTTTTCCAATTTATTGGTGCATGTTTTAATTCACGATTTTTTCCTTCATGTTTCATATAGTGAGATAGTCGCTGCTTACGATATTCTCCTTCGATGACACTCTTGCATTGCTTGATCTTGGTTTACATTTTGAAGGCAATACTGAAAAGGAGGAAATCCTTATTTCTATTAAATGAGTCTGTTTTGCAGTTTTGTGTGAACTGTTTCAATTTTAGTCGTGGACCAGCAGAGGCAGATGAAATGATGATAAAACATGGCTTCGTATTTTCGGGTACTTACAAATGGATTCCAAACACTGAACGTTGAGGAAGTAATTATATGTACAATGTTATTAGAAACAGTGCAGATAGTATGTGGATTTTTTCTTAAGGCTACATTGTGTTTGGATTGATTTTTGCTGCATATCACTTTACGAGTTCTGTTTGAGCCTTATTTGTGAAAAAAGTAAACTGATTTTGGATACTGTAATCATTATGCAGGATATTTTTTTAACTTCAGTAACCGTGTTTTTAATTTCTCAGTGAAAACATCCAGTTTGTTCCGGAGACTTATTTCTTTTTTATGTGATATTTTTGTGTATTTGTAAGAAGTTAGGTAGGCTTAAGGACTTGTTCAGTTCTAATGTTTCCATCTGGCCACCATTTCTCTAATTAGCCACTGCTTGGTAGAAGTGCATTTTGAGTCTTCTGTAAAAATCACTGTTTGCCTGCTTTTTCGTATAATATTTCACTTTTTACTAGATGACCAATATAATCGGAATGATCAATGAGAGAGTAAATTTCATACGCATTTAGAAAGAGAAGCATTGTTTTAAGAAATTCATTGTTGATAGCGCCATTCTTTCATTGCTTGTTCAGTTGAAATGGACTTTTGGTGCTATGTGAAGTATTGTTTAAAATGACGGTTTATATGCTTACAGCGTTGTCTTTTCATGCTAACTGAAGCAGACGTTTGGTTCTACACTTTTTTTCTTTTCGCAACGTTGGCCGGCTCATACAGTCATAGTAATTTTTTTCCTTCCTTAATTCAGGCTATTTAATATCGCCTTTCTATTTTCTTATTGCAATAATCTGCAATGTTAAAATTTTTGGATACTTAGGAATTAAGTTATCATTCTGGTGCTGATTTTGTATTGTGCTAAATAAAATGTAACTTTTCATTATTCGGAATTCAGCATAACATTTGTTTTTCCTGCGACTAAGGCTTGATGAAATAGTTGTGGGAGGTTTCCTCATATCATGTTTGATTGATTTATAATACTAATTTAAAATTTTAGATTTCTAATATTTTTTAGATTGTACGAGACGATCACATAATGACTCACTATTAAAACTTATTTTGGGTTATTAATTTGATTTGTTATAAAGCTGCTTTGTGTGCCAGTTGACAATGCAGTTTTGCTGTTACGCAGACATAGTGGGACAATTCGTTTACGTTTATAAGCCTCTTCAGTTTAAAGTTTATCCTGACAAACTGCCTAGACTGTTCGAACAGTTATTTGCAGAAGACGGGTATAAGTGCACCATTCGTTTGTGAAGCATCAGATTTAGCCTAGCACGGCTTGTTCAAACCGAAGAAACTCTTTGATACCACAGTCATTAGAATCGTTTGATTATTTGAAAAGATTGTCTGATTATTTGTCAGTGACTGCATGCACACTCTCTCATCCATCATCCACAAAAACTCATTGAGTTCCTCGACTGCTAAACTCTTCCTGTCCGACAAACTAACTAAGACCGACAAATGACTAAACGTTTCATTTTGTGCTATTATTCATTCTCACTTGAAAAAAAGTTATTTCCGAATTGAAAAGATACAGATACATACCAGTTGATATTGAAAATTACGTAATTAACAATGGACTACTAGACGAATGCGTGTGACAGTTGTAAGGAAAAATGCTTTGGATGAAATTTGACATGGAAAAATCGAAATTTCCATCTACCCTTCTTTAACAAATACAGGACGCTCTATAATGCTACATCTGTCAATCAAATTTATTAATTCGTTTTGTTTTTTATAGATTTGCTTCAGTTCTCTGGTAATTTCGGCGATAGTATCCCAACTGCATGCTCTGTTAACCATCCTAAAATTATTGATTTTTTTTTTCGATCTCTCAAAATCTGAGCACTTTAAATCCATTTTTGATTACTACTTAAAATATTGGAACAGGTAGGAATATAATGGTCTTGTTTGATCAAAATCAGAACCACAAAACATATTCAAGCCGTTGGTAAATACTCCAATGAGATTGATCTACCCTCGACTTACCTAGTAACGTAAAATTTGTCATTCTAGTAAATTTAGTTCTTGTCTATTTTTAGTTATTGTAAACCGAAATTATCAGTAAGGGATAGGATTAATTAATTATTCTTTCTTGAAGTCTATTATTAAAAATTAAACATTATTTGACTAAAACTGAATTTTAATATAAATGAATTTTTAGAAATGAAGAACTAAATAAGCAAGTTGAGAATTTTAAAATAAAATTGTACAGAAATACTTCGCGACATATTTTATTTTTATCTGATTTATTAATCAGCATGCTCCTCTTTCCAGAAGTATTCGTTATATAATTCCTGAACAAAAGCTTCTAAAGTAATGCAAGTCTTTCTAAACGTTAAACATTTTTTCGTTTAATTTCAGAAAAATGAAAAAAAAAAAAAAAAACATACAGATCATCTTGTTGCCATCCTCGAAATAAATTTGACAATGATCGCTTGTCCCAGTTGTCGGTGAATGTCATTTGCGCCGTAACGATGTAAATGATAGCTGGTAGTAATGTAATACGTCTCATAATTCCTGATTCTGGATTAAAATTCTTTTAACTTTTCCCTACAAGCATGTATAACATGGAATATCTTGCACGATCATTCCTGTTACTGAAGGGTCATGCGGTGTAGAGTTTCTGTTTTCCATACTTAGTGAATTCCTGTCCTTAAACCCATTAAGATTTGGATCCCAGAAAAAAAAAAAAAAGACTTTTTTTCCGTATTTCTGTTTCCAAATTTCTTTATATTAAAACATTGTTAGAGTATGTTTGTCATAATATGTCTGTTGAAATGGTCGATATCAATTACTAAAATTTGAATCATTCAATGAATGAATTGGTTATAAGTTAACAAATGATGTAATAATAATTGCTTAGAATTAGAATAATTAGCAGAAAATTTATAAATTACTGTTTATTTTATCTGATAGACACAGATATAATATGCAAAAGCAACATAGAAATTAGAGTGTAACTGTCTAAAAAAGAAAACCTTAAAAGGATATTTATATTAATTCCCTTTTTAACAATGCAATAAAGCAAGTTATTCCGAAAGAACTAATCTGGTTGTAAAATGGTTGTAAATGGTTGTAAAGCTTTTTGTCAATAGTACTATCATTTTGAATTTAAAAAAAAGACAAGAATCATGTGACAGCTCATAGCAGAGCATGCTGAAATGTGAAATGAGCTAGCTTAGCATATCAAATTACATCATCAATAAGCGGTAACAGTCGACATCGCTAATAAAGTTATCGAAACAGCATGCATAATTCTGTTGTCTCTTCACAGCAATATTCTTTGCAATTCAGAAGTAGGAATTAATTAATGAAGCGATGGATATCGAATTTTAGATAGTACTAATGATAATGTTCGAAATTCATAATTACCTAATGCAATCAATGATAAAAACTTTTTGGTAGTGATAAAAACTCTCATGTTAATTTTAACAGGTATGCATTCTGAGTCACATGATGAATAGCATGCAACAAACAACGGAATTATATTTCAATTGTTTCAAATTGCATTTCGGTCTTAAATTTTTGACTTCTCTGTTTACTATTACATGGTTTTTCCAACCTAAAAATCTTCTTAATCTTTCTTTTTTACTTCATATGTTTATTGTAGAGTAGGCCATTTTTTCTGGCGTACCATTTAAGCTACGATTTTGTAATACTTAATAAGTTTGATAATTTTTGCTAGGAAATAATACAGTGCATTGTGGTAGTTTGCAGAATATTATGTTATAAACATAAATTTGCATTCCATAATTCTGCAAATTTTTGTGTCAATTTTAAACCAATCATACTTTTTTTACAATTTTGATCTTTTTTTGCAATCTTGATCTTATTCTTCAGTTTAATTGAAATTTGTTAAAAAAATACTATTGACAAATATGTGCAATAAAGAATAAATTTGTTATTATATGTTAGTGTCTTTACATTTATAAAAGATTAATCGATTTGCCTTTTGCAGTACGGAAAAACATACAATTATATCAAAATACATCTCAAGTTAAATGACAACTATGGAAGGAAGATGTTAACTTAATACTATGAGCAAAGCTGCATGAAATCATTTCATATCTTTGAAAATTCACTGCAAAATTTCATCTTCTCTTGCTTATTACAAATAAGGGAAAGTGAAATTTACAAGTAATTAATATTCTGCTCAAAAATTCTGCTAAAATGCCTGATGCAACAAAATTTAAAGTTAGGATTCTAAGAAATGATAATAGATAATAGAATGATACAGCAGAACTTTGATTAAATAATGAAGTTGAACTTAGATTAGCACTTTATGGAAAAAATGGCTTCACGAAATTTTTCCACTTAGCCATTTTCATTTTAACTGGTTTTTTATCCTACTTTAATACAACAACTGTATTTATGCATATGAAAAGCTAATAAAAATTCATCTAATGCTTAATAATGATGATATTGCTTTTTTTTTTTTTTTTTTAATTTCAATTTCCTCGTTTACGACTCACACAATGAAAAGTGCTCTTCCGGTATTGTCGTTTTCTATTTTCTGGAATGGAAATGATAATTTATTTTCAGACATCTTTGTATTATATTCCATCGCGCATTTATCACTCAAACATTAATCAGAAAAAACTTATAGGTAGGTCATTTTATCCGCATCAACATTATTCATCATAATCAGTTGCACCCATTCTACCAACCAAATTTTGTTGAAGTTTCATTTAGCCTCTTAGCAGGAGTAATTGCAGTTCTTTTTCTTTTATCATTAAAATAATCACCATTATCCATATTCCTGAGTGGAAAAATAATGCATCACTACTACATTCTTCAACTATTTCTATCACATTTAATTTGTTTATGAACTTTTTTTTTCCTTTTTTTTTGCTTTCCTGAAAGATTAAGGGTCACTTGTTTAATATTTATAAAATTATTTAATTTTAAGCCAACTATTATCTTAATTATTATTTTTTAAAGAAGTTGGATTTTGTATTAAACTTCCATTTCAAAATTTCCTAACATGTAAAATTAATATGGATGAAAAGATTTCAGGTGCTGGTGAATGTTTAAAAAGGTTGGCAAATTTTATACTGCTTGATTCTAAATGAAGACTGCAAAATGGGACAATATAAATTTTGTGATGCTGAAAAAAAATGGTATAGAAAAAAAGTTTAGAAAGAAACTGAAGTAATAATTAAGATTGCTTAGTTCAATTAGGGATTAAATCTCCCACACTGAAAATTTACACTGCATATTTTTAAATGGAAGATAAAATGAAGTTATAAGTGTTTTAATAGCTTCAGATTAAAAATTTTTTGGTATTCATTTACGTAATACGATTTTAATGATCAAATGAAAATGTTTGTGAAGCAATTTTGCTTTTCCACTATTAATATAATTTTGAACTTCTATTTAATGTGAATTTGAATCAATCAGCTTTCTTTTTCGTAGTACCAAAAGATGAAAAAATTTCTTCAGTATCAATTTTAATAGTTTAAATTTATTACTCTAATTCATTACTTATTACCATCTCACACAAGCGTATGCTTAATTTTGTTATTTTCATTTTTCTTAAATAAATTCTGATTGCCATCTTATAAATTTTGATTTCCAGATTCTAAAATATTTCAAAGCACATTCCAGGAAACGAGTAAGTAAATTTCGTTGAAGGAAGACTGTTTTTCTTTCTTGCTGAGAAATCAATTTTTAGTAGAATTAAAAAATTAACTGCTGAGAAATCAATTTAGTAGAATTAAAATGAACTGCTACGATTGATTAGTTTAATTTATTTTCTATTTTTTATGGAATTAAAGGTGCAGTTTCAAAGCAACAAGCATTGATTAGTGATCTTCTAATCAAGACAATTAGGACAGTTCCAAAGATTTTTGGCGAATCATAATTGAATTCAAATCTTTTATCAAAATATCAGTAATTCGGAAAATATTAAAAGCTATCCTCAAAATTATCATTAATTTATTACCGGATACGGAACTATGCCAAATTTTTATTTCATGTGACTATGAAATTTATATGATTCGGTATCACAATGATCAAAATCCTCTTTAGGCTAAACAGTACTCTATGATCAGCAAGATTTTCTATCATACTGTAATAAATTTTATTAAAAGTGATTGACTATACAGAATGTTATTTACATTGGTAATAGTTTAGGTCACAAAAGTTCATTTTTCAACATAATTGCAGCAAATTTTATGGAAGAATAATTTGTTAATTGCTTCATATCATAATTGTCATTTCATATTATTACATATTATCTCTTCTTTTAAAAGAAAAATTACTTTTGAAATTTTGAAAAATGAAAGTAACTTGCTACAGAATGATTTGTTAGTGTCACTGTTTGTTACATTTTTCGTTCATATATCTCAAACATTTCAATCTATTTTCATTGATCTGCTTAAAAACATAATTTAATTGGCGTTAATAACAAAAGTAAAATCGGTACCATTTCATAAAATCCTTCAAATAGTAAAAGTATTATTTTACTCTGTCAAATATTAGCAGAATTTTATTCAGATATAAATGATACAATTTTAGTGTATTTAGGTGCAAATGTTACGTACATATTTCATTTATCGGCACTATTTGATACATTTTATTTCAATAATCATTTAAAAGATTGAATTTATAATTCAACAAATTATCGAAATAAACTGGTTTTTTAGAACATGGACATTTTGGCATATTTTTGAAATTTAGGCTCAAAAATAACTCTTGAATAGTTGCAAATGAATTTTTTCCTTTTTTAAAAAAAAAGCTTTTTCTAAGTTAAAAAAAAAAAAAAAAGCAAAATATATTGCAAATCAGTGAAGAATGTAATAATGAAATTTTCTAAATTAATTTCATAATTCCGTGTCAGTGGAAAAGTTCGTCGTATAAAACTTCAAAGTTCTTTTTTTGCAAAAAAAATTTGAATCAAAAAATTGACTATTTATTTATGAATTATGCGGCATACATTGGTGATACATTTTAATGAATGAATAAAATGATTGAAAATTTTTTCGTTTTTTTTTTGAACAGAATACGAAAATGGACATGAAATGCACTTAAATTTTCGCCTTTTTTATGATTTAAAAATCTCATACAGTTTAAATAAATCAGATTGATGAAGTTTTTATAACAGGCTGATGCATTAATATAAAAATTAAGTTTTTTACTTCCCAATTTGAATAATTTTTGTTAATACATTCAAGGTATGTGTATAACCATAAACATTAGTCGTACAAATGATACAAAATGAACTATTTATAAATGAACATCATCAACTGTAACTTAAGAATTATTAAATTTTTTGGACAACTAAATATAAACGAATAGAACAGAAAAAATACTTCAAGGAATGATCAATCATATAAAATTTAAAAAAAAAAATGGTTTTGCTTTTTTAGTTTTGATTGGAAAAATTGTTTTCTTGATCAATGCATATTTGTAGTGAAATATTTCAAGGAGAGAAAAAAAACTGATAGATATCTTTGAATTATCCATCTGTTAATAAAGAAGAATTTCCTGATAAATATTTCCAGCGCAATT